TAAGGTTTCTGTTCTATAGGAATTTAAAGAGGAATTCAGGCTTAACCTGGAAACTCTGGTCTGTGCCATTTACTAAAAGTTTCAGTCTATACTGAAGTGGACACATATGGACAAGTCAAGACTGACTATATCAGCCTGCAGCATTTGATTCCAATTTGATTCCAATTCAGCGCAGCCTGTCTGTATCAATGGAACTTCTTCCCAGTCTGGCTTTCATCTTGCACAGAGGGAACTATTTGTTATGAGCTATGTTGATTTATTCCTAAAGCCAGTCAATCCTTAAGGGAAATAGAAAAACAGAGTACCCAATGTGACCCTGTTATGATAGTCTACAGTTTCATGCTGAAGTAACCTCTGAAATACATCAGCAGTGCTTAACCTTTGCTCTTCTTTGTCTTTTTAATAATAGATGTAGATAGTGGCAAGAACAATGACATATTTGACATCAATCACGGTTAGTAGAGTCCTTTCTTTTAAAAATGCCTCAATCAGGCATAGGGTTTTATCCATTTGCTAATGTCAGGTCTTGTCTTACCATTTAGCTTTAGGACTGAACCTGTTTGAGGGAGACATCGACCTTGGTAGGGTGAGTTGGCATGCTGCAATGATATCAACACTGCTATCGGCCCATGTGAGCTAAAAGATTGCCTCTCTGAAGATGATCTACCAATGTGTTAACCTTAACCATTGGAGGTGGCACAGAATTAGTGAGAATCACTTATCAGTACATTTTCACAAAGCTTCATAAATAAATTGTGCTGGAAAAAAATTGTTTGATTCATATTAATATCATCCTCTTTCCCTTACTGTGATTTATTGTAAATTAGTTCCAAGTTCATTATTAACCATACATAATCAGGCTATATTGATCTGAACCTGATAGGTTTATAATTTTTTAAACTGGTAACTTGTAGTTTAATGTTTTCATTTCCAAATATATTCATTTCCCCTTCCTCTCTCCAACTAACCACTTCGGAATGCAGATGCACTAGTATTCTGAACCTTCTGTCTCTTGCTCAGTGCAGTGTGTTCCCAGAGGAAGTGTGGCTTGTGGCTAAGCCAGGCACCTTCCATCAGTGTCAAAGCAATCACTTCCATCTGTACCAGCACAAGGCACCTTCTATCTCCTCCTGCCAGCCCTATCTCCCAACTGGGTTGTAGAGAATCTCAAGGGCAAAGAAAATAACCCTCCCTTTGAATTCAAGCCTCCCATTTCCAGCAGTGCCTATTCTTTGAGGGCTGAGGAGTAGTGCCCTCCACTTAATGATGAACATTCTCATACATGGTCATACCCTTCACATCTCAATGACTCTGAACTTCTATAAATCATCATCTAAACCTCACTCCAAATCCCCTACACATAGAGTCCTCATTCCTATCCCCCTCAATCCTCCCACCCAAAAGTTTCATCCTAACTCCACCCAGTCCTTCCACTGTGCCCTTTGGAATGCCTGTGTCATAGGCAACAAACTTCCCTTCATCTGAAATCTGTTCTTCTACTCTTTTTACCTACTAACTCTTACTGAAACCTGGCCTTCCTTTGATGAAACAGCCTTGCTGGCCAGCCTTTCTAGTATAGTCCTGGCTGCATCTTCACTCATTCTTCTTCACCCACCGGTTGAAAGGAGGTGGAATATTCCTCCACACTCTTGCTTTCATATTCTCCCCCTTCCTCCATTACTCAATAAACTCTCTTTCTTTGAGGTTGATAGTATTCTATATACCACCCAACCAAAATCCTGGTAAGCTGTTGTGTAAAGAGCCCCAGGGCACTTCCTTTCCATCCTCAATGAATTCAATACCTGGCTTACAATTTTTGTTTCCTCCTCAACTCCTGTACCCATAATAGGGGACTTTAACATCCATATTGATTTTCCTTCAAATACCCCAATCACTCAGTTCCTCATTTTCTATGAGCTACTCCCACATTCTACCTCAGTTACACTGTCCTCTTCTCTTGAACCCCCAGCCCCCTTATTATATCATTGATTATGCCTAGCCAAGCCTCAACCTTGGACTCATTCCCCCCATTCATCACCTTCATGCCTACAATGAACTTGTGTTATATAACCTCTTCCGGGACCTTAGGCAATTCTATTATACCTCCCTTATCAATTTACTATCCTATTCTCCACAACAGCTCTTCCAAACCTTTTCATCCCTCCTCAAACTTCCCCTGGTTCCCATTTCTCTTACTCTCTCAGCTAAGAATTCCTTCTTCTCCCCACTTCCTCATCTCTTATTACTTAGCTTCCTAGTGCAACTATTTCTTACTTCACATGATGAAGTGGCCTTACGCCTTACCAAGGCTCACCCCTCTACTGGTTCAAGTGATCCTGTTCTATCCCATCTTGTTCAACAGATTGCCCTTTCTGTCACCCCCACTCTTTCATTTATTTTCAATCTTTCCCTCTCTACTGGTTTATTTCCAGCTGCCTAAAAACATGTCCATGTCTCCTTTCTCCTGGAAAAACTCTTACTTGATCTTTCCATCCCTGCTAATTATCACACTATATTTCTTCTGTCTTTTGTAGCTAAACTTCTCAAAAAGGATGTCTACAAGAAGTGTCTCCTTTTCCTCTCCTTTTACTCTCTGCTTTTAAAAAAACAGTATTTTATTTTTTCCAATTACATGGAAAGCTAGTATTCAACATTCATTTTTTATAAGATTTTGAGTTTCACATTTTTCTCCCTCCCTTTCTCCCCCCTCCCCAAGAGGGCAAGCAATCTGATATAGGTTATACATATGCAATCATGTTAAATATATTTCCATGTGACTTTCACTCTCTTCTTAACCCCTTACAATCTGGCTTCCCACATTATCATTCCGCTGGAACTACTCACTTTCTCTAGTGTTACTAATGATATCTTAGTTACTAAATCCAATGGCTTTTTCTCAATCCTCATTGTCCTGCATCAGAATCTGAAGCCTTTGACCCTGGTGATCACTGCCACAGTGATCTCCTCCTTGATACTCTCTTCTCTGTGGTTTTTTTTTTCAATTGGGGTTAAGTGGCTTGCCCAGGGTCACACAGCTAGTAAATGTGAAGTGTTTGATCTGAGTCTGGATTTGAACTCATCCTCCTGACTTCAGGGCAGGTGCTCTATCCACTGCACCACCTAGCTGCCCCCTCTAGGTTTTTGAGACACCACTCTCTCTTTGTTTTCCTCCTACCCACATGACTGCTCCTTCTCTCTCCTTTACTAGATCCTCCTCCAGCTTGTTCACTCTAACAGTAGGTATCCCTCAGTTTTCTGTCCTGGGCCCTCTTCTCTTCTGCCTCTAAACTGTATCACTTGGTGGTAATCCCATGGATTAATTACCATCTCTATGCTGTTGATTCTCAAACCTATTCCAATCTCCAATCATATGACCCCCCCCCCATCAAAGCCCTTTATATCCTTGCCCCCTCCTACCTTTCTGGTCTTCTTACCCCTTACTCACCACTCACCATGTATTCTTTGATCCAATGACACTTGCCTCCTGACTCTTCCACAAAGAAGACAGTCCGTCTCTTGGTCCAGGCATTTTCTCTGGCTATCCTGAATGCTTGGAACATTCTCCCTCTGTACTTCAACTATTGACCTTACTGACTTCTTTTAAGTCTCAACTAAAATACCACCTTCTATAGGAAGCCTTTTCCAAACCCATCTTAGTTCCAGGGCTTTCCCTCTTTCAATTATTTCCTGTTTGTCTTGTATATAGCTTGTTTTATACATAAATGTATCTACATATGTATGTATACATACACACATGTATGTATGTATATATCCTTGTTGTCTCCAATTTAGATTGTATGCTCGTTGAGAGCAGGGACTGTCTTTTGCCATTTTTTTTGTATCCCCAACATTTAACATAGTTCCTGACAAAGTGGGCACTTAATAATGTTTATCAATTGACTCATTAGTCTTATAACAAAGAACCAAAATGAGAGGGGAAAAAACAATTTGGCAAACCTAACTAATATATCAACTGAGTCTGACAGTGTACACCACGTTCCATACCCTTAGTGTACCACTTCTACAAGGAAGGGAGAGAGAGAGGTATATTTTTTCAATTCTTTTCTAGGATCAAGGTTCTTGGTCATTACATATAAGTTTGATATTTATGTCATAAAACCTTACCAATTCAGATGAATTAAAGAAAGATCAGTTCCAATCAGTTGATTATAAAGTCTAAATATGAAAATATTTTGAAAGGGCATATTTTATTAATTTCAAGTAATCAATCTGTCAATCAAAAATTATTTATTTAAGTCCTAGTATGTTCCAGGCACCATACTAGGAGTTGGGGATAGAAAAAAGAAAACATCCCTATGCTCAAAGAGTTTAGGGTCTATAATAATCTAAGCTAAGCTAACAGAACGTTACTTCATTGAGATACTACCAGACCCATCTGATGAACAGGCATACATAATAGTCATCAGTAATTGGCCCATTATTTAGTCAAAACAAGTACAGCTAAATCAGGATTTAAGCATTCTTGAAAACAGTTTATTTATTTAACTACTATAAATATAAATGTCACTTTTAAACAATTTTTTAAAGTAAACTCCATTTTCATAGTGCAGTGGTAGACTGTAACCCAACATATGTCTGAATGATCATGGATTCCGAAACAGTGCAGCTCAGATTAATGAGCTTTTGCTATAATCTTCTCCTTGCAGATAATTGTTTAGCTAAACTACGTGCAAGAATATTCATTGTGGTTTTTCTGCCAGTAGTGATTGGATTTCTCCCATAATCATTGCTAGATATAAGCTTTGCATGCCTCTTTTCCAAACTGTCCTACCAAAAATCAGTACTACAGATGCATTATTCTTCTCCTGACCTCTTACAGAATTGCTGAGAAACTACTTTCATGCCCAAATTATTTGTTTCTCCTGGTGCTTGGGAGTTCTTTAAATTGCCTTTGCCCTCCCTGGGATAAACACTGAACCTTCTTCAAGTAGTGGCCTAACCTTGGGGTAAGCATATCCTGTGTTTATGTTTCTTTTCAGAGAGCTAGAAGTTCCCTTATTGGTGATAACACTAAATGGCTTCACAGCATCTCTTATATCCTCGCAGATAATCTGGGTAGGTACATCATTCGGGCTAGAGTTCTTGTCTCTTCAGTCTCTATCTTAGATTCTGGCCTTGTTCAAACTCTCAGCTGTAGGTTACAGGAGTTGTTGAGTTCAGAACCCCTTTAGTTGAAGACAGAAAGACTTTTATTTTTGTTTTTAACCTTAGAATGGAGGTGGGGAGAGAAATGGAGGCAGGTATAAAAAACATAGATCTGTCTCTATTGTTGGATTTCATGAAAGAAAGCTATGATTGCCAAAGTCCTTCCTAGTCCTAAAATCTCTAAATCCTATGATTTATAAGTACATGATCTATATTTAGAATCAATGAAGTGGGAGAGTGAGATGACTGGTCAGCTACATTGAATATAAATACCCAGAAGCCTAGATACAAATATATTTCTATTTATAATTTTAAAAAAAATTTATTAGTTTTCCGAAACAACCACCAGAAGAGCCTTTTGGAACCCCACCTGCTTATTGTTGTTGATGGAGCTTTCTAAAATTGAACATAATTTTCCTCACCTTCCTTTGGAACCAGGGAAACAGGAAGGTTGCAATGGAAGGAGTGTTGAACCCAGTTCAAATCTTGACTGCTACTTGCTATTTATGTGACCGGGGACAATAATAATAATAGTAATAGTTAGTTGCACTTTATGGTTTCGAAGCTGATTTACAAATATTATTTCATTTGATCCTCACAATAACCTTTGGAGGTAGTTGAAATTATAATCTCCATTTTGTAGGTGAGGAAAGTGTGGCAGAAATTAAATACCTTGCACAGGATTACCTAACTAGTCAGGGCGTGAGGCTAGATTTAGATTCAGCTCTTTCTGGCTCCAGGCCCATCATTCTTTCCACTGCACTGTCTATTTGCCAATTTACATGGTCTGTCATTTAACCTTTCTGGTCCTCAGTTCCTCATGTGTTAGACAGAAGAATTGGAGTACGACATTACTCAGGCCTCTTCCAGCTTCAGATCAATGAGATAGATGGGAGATGGATGCTCACAATCATTTGTACCTTTCTCATGTGCTTCTACACTTCTTTGTATTTCTTCCTTCAGCAAAGATTCCCTCTAATTCCTCTTTGTTGTGTAGAGGTGGCCCTAGTTTCTCAAAGGTTATATTAGTGCTACTTAAGCAATGCAAGATCCTGTCAAAATGGAAAGGTTTCCTGCTTGAGAATAGTAACAGATTCTTTGTCATGTAAAGACCATCTTGGCTAATTTTAGAAGGTTCTTTATCAGATTACCTGCAAAGTGATGAATTTAGAAGTCACAGAAGATCACTAACTAGGCTATAAAAGGGTATGATCTAAATCTATGAAGAGTATGACCTCATGGATGAAATAATAGAACCTGGAAGTATTCAGAGTTTTGAAGTAAGTCTGTATCTCACAAACCTCCACAGGATTGCAAACTACAAGAAGGCAGAGAGCAGGGATAATCCAAATTTTCTATCTCCTTCAGCCTTAAAAACTGTTTTGCATACAATAGGTGCTTAACAAATAATTGTTGCTCAGTAGCTAATAACTGCCCCAGACTGAATCAAGATACTCGCTTTTTAAAGAACAGAATGCTTTATTTTAAAAAATATTTACGTGTGAATGTGTATACTTATATACTTCATTGATTGTGGAAATTAGAGAAATTAACAGGTGGAAAGCCAAGCAATCAATTGTTTATCTTGCTGAAGAATTTATGTTGCGGGTTAATCAATCCAGTGATGATACTTTTACACTGTTATTGATAGAAATACCAATTTCGACTTGTTTTCCCTTCCACTGCTTTTCACTGTGCATTTAATTTTATGCTATTTGACTCCATAAGGTTTTATGAATGAATTTATATTCCAAAATGATGTTACCCTTGGTTGCCAAGTCTTTCTGTTCAGCAAAGAGCTCACTGTTTTCTAGTTAGCTTCTAGACTCTTTAAGGAGAACCTGTGGCAGTCCTTCCATTTAGCTTCTATTTTTATTTATGGTTATATTCATTTCTTCCAGTAGACTATCAACTCACTGGTCATCAAAGTCTTCTATTTAGACTACCAACAGTTAAACTGTTTGTAGACCATCTAAAAGCTGTGATTATTTTCACTCTCTACCTTCTTTTTTGCCCATATATCACCACCAATGGAGAAGGGGAATGGGTTGGCTCAGGACAAAGAGCCATCTTGTATTGTTTTTTGTTTATGAGATGCCCATGTCTAGTTACCGGCTTGCTGGGCTTGAGTCCCTCTATATTCAGTTAGTTTTGTCCATAGAAAATTTTGTGCCCTAGAACTTTATTAAAAATATTTCCAGGGGCAGCTAGGTGGTAAAGTGGATAGAGCACTGGCCCTGAAGTCAGGAGGACCTGAGTTCAAATCTGGCCTCAGACCAAACACTTGACACTTACTAGCTATGTGATCCTGGGCAAGTCACTTAACCCCAATTGTCTAAAAAGAAAACATTTCCAGCTTTCTAGAACATACCGGTATTTCATTTCGTTATTTATTCCATTATTCCATCTTTCAAAAGCTCAGGGCCACTTCCATGTCATGAAAAAGGATTTGACTGGGCCTCTTTTGTAGGCTGGGAATGAGAGTTTTGGAAGGCAATAGTATTCAGTTATTCTCTTTCTTAGCATGTCTTTAGTTATTCAGATCAGTGACCTTGATTCTTAATTTTCACCATAATAATGTGATAGCTAGAACTGATAGAGTGCTTTATGGTTTGCCAAGCACTTTACAAATGGTCTTTCATTTTTTCCATAACAAACCTGGGATAAAGGTTCTAATATTGTGCCCATTTTTATAGATAAGGAAACTAAGGCAAATTGAGTTTAATAGGAGTCTGTAAAATAAATAGAATACTCAAACAGAGCAGTACTTATACCATCTTTATGTAATCCTAATTAATTGAATTATATTCCTGTGTAGAACAGATGAAAATTTTAAAAAAATGTTTTATTCTTTTATGATTCAAGGCATGCCATTGGACTAATTAAACTCTTTTAAAAATTTTATTGATGCCTTTTCTTTTTATATCATTGTTATTTGTGAAATTTCCTCCTTCATGACCCACAGTGAGCTCCTATTCCCCTAGGAAAACCTGATAAATAAAACCAATCAATACAGAGACCCTGCCTAACAGTATATACAGAATTCTATATCTGCTGCTTCATTGCTTTTTGTCATCTGTTCTCCAGGGCCATAACGAATGGGTGGTTACCATCAGTCACAATTCAACATTAAGTATTTTTAATTGAGAAAGTGATGTTTCTGTAGCATCTATTTTGTACAAGGATGAAATTGGGAAGAAGAATTTAGTACTAGTCAATAAGCATTGTATAATCAATAAGTAGTCAATAAGTACTACCTAAGGGCTAGTCAGTCAATAAACATTTATTAAGCCCCTACTATGTGCCAGGCACTGTGCTAAGCCCTAGGGATACAGAGAAAGGTAAATGACAGTCCTTGTTCTCCAGGAACTAAACATCTAGTGGGGGAGACAATATACAAAGAACTATGTATAAGCAAGCTCTGTACAGGATAAATTTGAAATCATCAATAGAGAGAGGGCCCAAGACTTAAGGAATGGGGGCGGGGATATGCAAAATACATTTACTTACAAGACATATACAGTGTAAATAAAAGATAATGTCAGAGGGAAGGCAGCAGCCATGGCTGGGCTAAAGAAGAAAAGGTCTGTTGCAAAGGTGAGATTAGAAAACTGAGTTTTTAAGGGAGCCAAAGCAGCCAGGAGTTGGGGATGAACAGAGAGCCCTCTAGGCACGGTTTGCAGGGGGTGGAGGGTGGGGGTGGGGTGTTGAAGATCATGAGAGAGACAGAAAAGGGAATGAGTGTCAATGATGAGGAAGAAGAAGATGGCCAATGTTTCTGGATCTTAGAGACTGTATTGGGAAATAAAGTATAAGAAGACTTGAAAGGTAGGAGAAATGAGGCTGTGAAGGGAACCAGTGGAGTTTAATGAGTAGGGGGATGACCTGGTCAGATTTGGGATTTAGAAAAAATCACTTGGGCAACTACATGGAGGATAGATGGGAGAAAGGAGAGATGAGGCAGGGAGCCCAACCAGCAGGCTATTGAAATAATAACTCACCTTTGTATAGCTTTTTATAGTTTAGAAGCCACTTATACAGGTTATTTTATTTGGTCCATATAACAACCATTTAAGGTAAGTAGTAGAAATGTTATTCCCATTTTGTAGATGAGGAACCTTATGCCCAGAGAGGTTAAATGAGTTGCCCAGAGTCACACAGCTGAATTCAACTTGAATCAACTTCCTGCTACACCTTGGTCTAAATGTACTGGGCCTCAAGGTTTTTGTAATCTACTTGAGGAGCTCATAATCCACCAGCTTTGAGGAGGGAAATGACAGCAAAAGAGTGATAGAGCAAGGCCTGTAAGGAAACTGAAAGATGAGAAATAGTGATCAGAAGGAAAGATGGATTGGAGAGAGCAGAGAGTGGAAAGTAAAAGAACTTTTAGAAGGTTATTGTCATGGTGCAGGTAAATCAGTCTTCACAGAGAAGCCAGGCAATTCTGGGTGATAGCATGCTGGGCCTGCAGTCAGAAAGACCTGAATTCAAATTTGACCTCAAATATATATGCAAATTTAACCACTGTCTGCTTCAGTTTCCTCAACTGTAAAATTGGATAATAATGCCCTAACTCACAGAATTGTTATGAGGGTCAAATGAAACATTATTTGTGAAGCACTTAGCATAGTGCCTGGCACCTAATAAATATCAGGCACCTAATAAATGCTTGGTTTTTTTTCCTTTCTGGGGAGGTAGTAGTGGCCAAAGAGCAGAGGAAAAATTTAGAATTTTGGAAGTGAAATTGACAGCATAGAATTGATAGGGATAAAGATTGGATTTGTGATTTCGTTAGCATAGAGAACTTCCCCTGTCAATGCAGGTTGGCACTTTCTTTGCAATTTATTGTCTTAGAGCATTGATTAGGCTACTGAAAGGCTACGTGATTATCTCAGGGTCTCTCAACCAGTACATATCAGAAGTAAGACTTGAACTGAGGTGTTCCTAACTCTGAGGCCAGCTCTCCGGACACTATTGACCATTGGCTTTCAGAGTGATTAGAGTTGAGACGTGGTGGAGTAGGAAGAGTCAAGGATAATCTCCAGGTTACAAAACGGTAAAACGGTGAAGGATGGTGCCTCTGACAGGAAGACCAATGTAAGAAAGAGAAACTGGTTTAGATGGAAGATGACAAGTCCGATTTTGGGACATGTTGAGTATGAGGTACAGGTGAAACATTCAAGGAGAGAGGTCCTGTAGACAGAAACAATGAGTCTATAGCTAAGAAGAGGGATTTGGGCTAAAGACATGTTTAAGGCAGTTGGGTGGCTCAGTGGATAGAGAAGTGGGCCTGGAATAAGGAAGACAGGAGTCCAAAGCTGGCCTCAGACAGGAGCTGTATGATCTTAGGTGAGTCATTTAACCTGTTTGCCTCAGTTTCTTCAGCTGCAAATTAGGAATCAAATGAGAAAATAGGGAAAAATGCTTAGTACAGTGCCTGGTATGTAGAAAGCATGATACAAATACTAGTTCTCATGGTGATGAGAATGTTTTGGACTCCTGTGAACAGAAGCAGAAGTTGAAACTCTGAAATTGCATGAGTCTGCCAAAGGAGAAGCAGAGAAGAGGACCAAAGACAGACTTTTAAGGAAGACTCATGTTAAAGGATTAAGACGAGGGTATGGAACAAGGGAGAGAGACAGACAGAAGAAAAGGCTAGAGAGGTAGGAGGAGAACTAAGAGGATGTGGTATCTTTGAAGACAAGGGAAGAGAAAGTCTGAAGAAGGGGGAGCCACTGATAGTGTCAAAGGCTTCAGAGAGTCCAAGAAAGATGAAACTTGACAAAGGACCTTTGGATTTGGCCATTGGTGGCCTTTGAGAGACAGGTTTTAGCACAGGTGGGGAGAGTCCAGATCTTTATCCAGGGTCCTATTGGTTGGTGGTTAACAGGCACTGTTTTTGTTTTTTCTTTTTCTTCAGACATAAATGCTAAAGGAGTTATTGTGAGAGGGTTTGAGTGGTACCGTTTAAAAACCTGCATCGACTTTAAATGGTGGAAAGGGGAAGACAGCTATAGTTATTTTTACAAAGGAGTTGGGTAAGAGAAAGATCTGACATTCTAAGAATTTCCTGAAAACAGAGAGCATGTTGTAAATCAAAGCAATTAACCTCAGCTCCTGATATTTATGTGGTTCAGACATTTGACTTGTGCATGAAAAGTGGTTCAGGGAGATAGGGAAGGAGGTGGTAGCCCGAGTCTTCTCTAAAAAACAAACAAACGTGAAAATAAAAACTAGATCTGAGGATTATTATGTACTTATCCCCAATAGCCATAGCTCCAAATACCAAAATTGTCTACAAAGAAAGGAAGAGGGGATTTTCCCTCCCCTCTCTTCAATCTATATCTTTGGCTGCCATTGATGTTTATTGTAATCTTTGTGCATTTACACACCTACTATGTGCAAAGTACTATATTAGACATGGCAAGGATACAAAGATGACAAAGATAGAATCCATGCTTTCATGAAGCCTGACATCATTCCATTAACCAATACTCTTGGGTATTGTTATACAACCAGTTTCAAACCCCATGACTGTAATCAACCACATGCCTCAATTCTATTCAATAATTGCTTATTGAATTGAATGGAATCTTTTCACAGTTTGTCCACAAGAGTCAATGTGATGTAGTGGCCACAGAACTGACTTTGAGGCCAGCAAGACCTGAGTTCAATTCCTGCATCTGGTCATGAGATCCTGGGCAAGTCGCTTAACTTCTGAGTGATCTAGGTCAGAGTTTTCGAATACTATGTCTTTCAACCATCCCTGTGCAGCCTGAACCAGATTAAAATGTAATAAAGCAACATATAACAAAATAAATCAAAATATAATAAAACAAAGATGTTAATACATGGTTTTGTAAGTCAGTCTGTACCTATGGATTCTTGTTTAGTGTCCTTGTTTCTGCCTGCATTGGTGGAGAGAGTTTCCTCACTTGGGAATTCCCTAGATAAATGAAATCACCATTCCAGGCCCTATCCCACAAACATACTTTGAGAGGCTTTGTCAAACTACTTACTAAAATTCAGGATACTAAGTTTGTGTCATTTGGTGAACTACCAGTCAGTAAACATTGAATTCGATAAACATTTATTAAGCACCTACTATGTGCCAGGCACTGTACTAAGTACTGGGGATACAAATAAGAAAACTAGTCCCTGCACTCAAGGAACTGACAATCTAATAGGAGAAGACAACACACAAAGAAAAGCTGGAAAAAGGGTTTTGGGGTGGGCCATCGGGGGCATCCTGCACAGGGACATAATGGGCCTTCGAGTTCAAACCATCTAGAGATGCAGATGGAAAATAGAGCATAGTCTGGTCAAAAAGGAAATGAGTTACTTGTTTGTAATAAACCCATGTTGGCCCATCTTCATCACAGTTTCCCTCAGTTCTCTCAGACCACACCTTGAATAATTCATTCTTGTTGATCTTGATGTTCAGCTCATTAGTCTATGACTTGCCCAGGGTCACACAGCTAGAAAGTGTCAAGTGTTTGGTCTGAGGCTGGATTTGAACTCCTGACGTCAGGGTCGAGCTCTATCCACTGTGCCACCTAGCTGCCCCCAGTCTATAGTTTTAATCATCTGTTCCCTATCTCTTTGAAAAGGGGAAGATGTTGGTTTGTTTCTAGCCTAGTATCAACTTTTCTGGTTTACTAAAGTTTCTCAAAGTCAACTCGCAGCTGTTGAACACTCACATCTGCAAAGTCTTTCAGGACTCCAAGGGATCTCACATAACATTCTTGCTTATCTTGACATTTAACTTCTTTTTTACCTATTTTTGTCCTATTTTCTTCATTTAGTAGATTGAATTCCCTGAGAGAGAAAATGGAAGCAAAGTAGAAAATCAACAGGTTTATTTTCTCTGTGTCATTTGTTAGCCTCTGTTCTCTCCACTCTAACCAGGGAGCTTCATCTCTTGATTGTTCTGCATCCAAGCTCCCTATCTTGTGTGGCATTTTTTAAAAGAATCACATTATTTGAACTTCAACTATCCTGATATTTCTTACAAGTCCATATGACTCTTTTCAGTTTTATTCCCACGTGGCACCACTTGTTTCTATTAAGAGGTGCTCCTTATTACCTCTAGAACAAATAAAACTCCTCTATTTGACATTTAAAAGCCATTATCATGTGGCTGTAATTTTATCTCCCTCCATCCCTTCATTCCTTCTTTCCTTCCTTCCTTTCTTCTCTTTTGTCCTTTCTCCTCTTCATCTTTCTTTCTCTTCTTCTCTTCCTCCCTTTCTTTTTCTTTCTAAAATATGATTTATTGATCCATTTTCTTTTCTAATTAATTCATTGCTTCGTCTTATTGAATCTTCCCTTGTGAAAAATAAAACCAACAAAAACATCCATCCAATTGCCACATCTGACACACACACACACACACAAAGACATACACAATATTCTACCTTTCTATATTCTTATCTATTTTTCGAGGCTTATTAAAATATTATTCCAATTCAGATATGTGACATTCCAGCCAAACTGGTCTGATTGCTCTTCTTCCTGTGCAGAATTCTATGTTCTGTCTCTTTGTCTTTGCACAGAGTTTCCTCAATTCTTAGAATGTTTTCTCTCCTCACATCTACCTCACAGAATCCCTAACTTCCTTCAAAGGTCAGCTCAATTACCACTTTCTTTTTGAAATATTTTTTGATCCCCTCCGTTGCTAGTGCTGCCCTCTTCCCATTACTTTTTATATGTTGCTTATATTTGTACGTGATCTTTCTTAGAATATAATCTTTTGGACAGGGTCTGCTTCACCTGTCTGTATCCTTTTTGCTAGGTGGGAACTATGTGCATGACATGTAGTAAAAAATGATTCACAGAATTATAGGGTTTGAAAGTTGGAAGGGACAACCATCTAGTCCAACCCAAAAGGAATCCCTGTTATCACATACTTTCCAAGTAGTCATTCAGCCTCTTCTTGAAAACCTTCAATGAGGGACAACCCACCATCTCAGGAGATTAGCTAGCTCATTGAGCTTTTGAACAGCTCTAACTCTTAGGAAGTTTTTCTTGACATCAAACTTAAATTTATTTCTTTGCATCTTCCCCTCATTACTTCCAGCTATACATTCTGGGATTTTTCTACATGATACCCCTTCAAATCCTTGAACACAGCTCTTATATTCCCCTGAACCCTTTCTTCTTCAGGCTAAACCTTTCTATTTCTTGATATGAAATACACTCAGTGTATGTCACCATTCTGGTTGGCTGGATTCTCCAGAAGCTATGCTCTCTGAATGCAGTCTAAGATGTCATGTGCTTTTTTGTTTGCCATATCATACTTCTACGTCATATTGACGTTCAGTCTACTCAGATCCTCAATATATTTTAGACAGACTTCTATCTAACCATGTCCATCTGCCAACTCTTTACTTTTGAAGTTGACTTCTTTTTAACCCAAGTATAAAACTTCACATTTATCCCTATCAAATTTAATCTTATTAGATTTACTCCAATACTCTGGTCTGGAAAGATTCTTTTGGATCCTATCAACAAGTGGGTTATCTATCTCCCATTTTTTTGTCATCAGCAAATTTGATGATCATGCCATCTTTACCTTTATGTAAGGCATTGATAAAAATATCAAACGATATAGAAACAATCCTCAGGACACTCCACTGAGACTTCCTGCCAGGTTGACATTGAACTATTAATAACTATTCTTTGCATCTGATCTTTCAGCTTGTTCTGAGGTTAATGGTATTATGACAGCTCACATCTGTATTTGCCACAAGACAGTATTTTATTAAATGTTTTCCTAAAATCTAGACAGCTCAACCCTTGTTTGCTTTAATCCATTGATTTAACAAATAGCTATTGATTGCCTATAATATACAAGACCCTGAGCTAGGAACTTGCAGAAATATTCTTCATTTCCTATTTGTAGCCTTATATTCTGAACTTAACAAAACCGAAACAAAACCAAATTGAACATTTCAGTATGCAAAGTAGAACACAAAAGAAGATTTTATATGAAAATATCAATTTATGTTTCATAATTCTTGCTTCTCTAAAAGGTATATATTAAATTTAATACTTTAATTCAAAACTTTGCTGTTTGTGCTTCCTACTGTATATTCTGTTCTTCTCTGTGCACTTTAAAGAAATCTTTCAATGGTCCTTCTCTTTTTTCCTTTTTTGGAATCACCATTGCTAATCCCTCTTTTGCCCTCCTCTCCTTATGAATTAAAAACAAAATAAAGATGCTAATCTTTACAAAAAATAAGCGTAGTTAATCAAAACAAATCCAAGCTGTATCTGTGTCACAAAATCTGTCTCCTCTGCACCTTGAGTCTGACATCTCTTTGTCAGTAGGTGATTTGGGCAGTTTTCACTTATGATTTCTTGAAATATAGTGTCTAGGCTTTCTTTTTTCTGGGAATCCAGTGATTCTTAAATTCTCTCTCCTTGAGCTTTTTTCCAGATCAGTTTTTTTTTAATTTAAGAAATTTTAATTTTCTTTCTATTTTTAATAATCTTTTGATTTTGCTGTACTATTTCTTGCCACTTCATAGAGTCACTGATTTCTGTTTTGGTTTTTCCTAATTTTTAGGAAGTCTTTTATATGTGAACAGTTTATCACTTTCTCTTTTAAGGTATTTGTTATTCTTCTAATTGGTTCCTCTAGAGATTTCACTTCATTTTTCATCTCTTGCTTCATTTTCCCCCTAGATATTCATGTGGTCATTGTGAAAGATGCATTTTTTTCCTTTGAACCTCTGCTTGCAGTTGTTATGGAACTTGTAGCGCAGATTTGAGGGTATCTATGGATCTATAATACTTCTTTTTAGTAGTTCATATCTTCTCATATTTTCTAATTTCTCTAGACTTAGTTCTTGAATTGGGCTTTGTGTCAGGGCATACCCTACCTCCAGCTCTGTTTTTGGTTGGGATGGTCCACCCTTCTTGATTTCAATCTGTTTCACTTGGGCTCCTATCCTGACCTCTACCTCCAGTGTCTTTACTAATATACATACCACAGAGAGTAGGTTTTAGGTTCTTCTTTATCTTTTAAGCTCAGAACCCTGAATCTTCTTGGCTTTCTTTGGCATCTTTAGACAGAGTACTAGGAGCTTTGGAATCTGGTCACTTGGCCTGACCCAGTATGAATGCTAAAAGTCCTACACTTATCACTGCCATTTACTTTCAAGGTCTGTACTATGGAATTCCAGTCTCTCTTGGGCTTTCTCATGGGAGCTCTCTGCTCTTTGTCCCTACATGCAGAGAGCCTTACTGGCTGCAGTTTTCTCTGGCCCATCTCTGGTCATATTGCTAATGTATCTCTGAACACCTATTTGTGGGCTAATTATTATTGCTTAATCATGCTAAATAATCATGCCTTTTAGCATCATCTCCAGAAGTGCTGTAGCCTTTGAATTTAATATCTGTCAATACACAATGCCAGTGTCAGTCATCTTACCACTCTGTTCCTTGTTTTTAGGTGCTATTCTTCAATAGGTACTAGACATGTTTACAAATAAGACATTATCCATAGGATCCAACTACGGCAGAATCACAACAGTTGAATATAAATTCCATGCCTTGGTATTCTGGTATGAGCAATTCCATTCAGAATGTCTTTGCTTTACTAATTGAATTTCCTCTTCTTTCTTCTTCAGCTCTCAATTATTCTGCTGTTAATAATTGTTTGTGGATTATTGAAGCTCTTAGTGCTTCTGTTTCTCTATATTTTTGTCTCACCTTTCTTTTTCCATTTCACTGTTTGTCAGTCCCTTCAGTAGTGCATGAGCAGGAACAGAGAGAGGAGGTGAAGCTGGAATCCATCAGTTCTGTTATGGGTTAGCCTTTCTGTCTGGCATAGGTTGGGGTGGGGAGTAATTTTAAAATAATGATTTAAATGAAGCTTAGAGATCTGGAGAGAAAACCTGGGCTACTATGTCAGTCATCTTACCACTTTATGCCTTGTTTTTAGGTGCAAATCCAAAGTGGGAAATAGACATTTTGGCAAACATGACATTTCCATGGGAGAATTCTGTGACAAGATAGGGACAGTTCCACATGAGCTCCTCCATACCCTGGGATTCGTATATGAGCATTCCCGTACAGATCGAGATGATTATGTCACAATAATAAGGGACAACATTTTTCCAGGTATGATTTCCTTGCTTATTTTCCTTTTTGTATGAAAGAGTTTAGGACTAGATGTAGGAAGTGGTGTCTCCTTTCAGTTATTATTAGGTTAAACAAGCTTTATTAAGCACTTATTTTGTACCAAACTACAGTAATACAAAGAAAATTTTTAAAAATATGGCACCTGTCCTCATAGAGTTCACATTTTAAGGGAAGAGACAACATGCAAACAACTATTTACTTACAAGGTATACATGATGTAAATGGAAGCTACTCTCAGAGAGAAGGCATTAGCAAGGGGGAAAGGCCAATTATAGAAGATAAATTTGATCTGAGTCTTGAAGACAACCAAGGAAGTCAGGAGGCTGAGATAAAGAGGGTGAGCATTCTATGCATGGAGCATAGCCAGTGAAAAAGTATGGAGTTAGGAGATGGAAGGTTATGTTCAAGGAACAGCAAGAAGACCATTGAGACTGGATCATCATGGATCTGGAGGGGAATAAAGAATGAGAAGACTGTAAAGATAGGAACAGGACAGGTTGTTAAGAATGTTTAAAAACCAAATAGAGAATTTTATATTTGATCCTGAGGTAATAGGAAGCTGAATAAATAGATCTGGGAATCATCTGTTTAGAGATGATTAATGAACCCCTGTGAACTGATGAGATCATCAAGTTAGGTAGTACAGAGAGAGAAAAGAGAGGGCAAAGGTAAGAATCCTGGGAGACACTCTCAATTGTTGGTCATTTTTCGCATGATTATCCAGCAGAGGGGACTAAGAAGAAACAGTTAGTCAGCCAGGAGGAGAACCAAGAGAGAGCAGTGCCATGAAATCTCAGAGAAAAGAGAGAATAAGAAGAGGATGAGCATTTAAAGACTTTGAAGAAGTCAAAAAGCATGAGAATTGAGAAAAAAGCTGTTAGATTTGGCAATTAAGATTAATATGACAATTAACTTTGAATGGAGTAGTTTTAATTGAATGATGAGGTCAAATACTAGACTGCAGAGAGTTGAGAAGAGTGAGAAGAACGAAAGTAGAGATAGAACTTCTAAGAATTTAATGACAAAAAGAAAGAGAGACAGGAGAAATGTAGAGTTAATGAGGATGGTTGGATCAAGTGAGGGAGAGATATAGATGTGTTTTTAGGTGGCTAGGAAGTATTCATCAAGGAAATATTGAAAATCATTGAAAGAGTGAAGGTTCAGGAAGAAATCACTTTGGCAGCTGCATAGAAGGATGAGCAAACTCAATCTCAAAGTGTTTAATAGATTTGTTCAGTGTTACATATCCAACTAGCCAATAGTAGAGCCACAATTAGGAGCCAGTTATGGAACTTTCCCTCATACTGTGTTGTCTTCCATGTAGAGATAGCATCTTAACATGATGTTTAGTATAACATAGAGTGTAAATATTATATATAATATAATTATATAATGTAGGATGTAAATATTAGCTGTAAATAATATAATGAGTATATGCCATGTGGCAATGTTAATATCATTTGACCATTTATCAGTTAGGGAATGGATTTTGTTTTTTTATAAATTAATCTCAGTTCCCTATATATTTAAGAAATAAGATCTTTATCTGAGTTTACTGTAAGTTTTTTTTTACAAATTTCTTGATTTTTTTTCTAATTTTGGCTGCATTGTTTTTGTTTGTGCTAAAATTTGTTAAATTAATGCAATCAAGGTTCTCCATTTTACCTCCCATGATCCTCTCTATCTCTTGTTTGGTCATAAACTCTTCCCTTGTTTCTCTTATTTATAGATCTGATGGTCAATTTTCTCCATTCTTCTCTAATTTGCTTATGATATCGCTTTTTGTGTCTAAATCATGCCAATTTTTAACTTATCTTGGTATATGAAGTTGGTTTATGCCTGGTTCTGCTAGACTGCTTTCCAGATTTCTTAGCATTTTTTTTCCCAATAGTGAATTCTGGCCCCAGCAGCTTGGATCTTTTTTTTTTTTTAATTTATCAAACATCAAATAAATATGGTCATTCATTTTAGTATATTGTGTATTTAATGTATTCTTCTGATCAACCACTCTCTTTCTTAGCCAGTATTAGATTGTTTTGATGATTACTGCTTTGTTGTATACTTTGAAATCTGATAGTGCTAGGCTGCCTTCCTTCATGTTTTTTTTATTGATTCCCTTTGTATTCTTGATCATTTGTTCTTCCAGATGAATTTTGTTATTAATGTTTTCTAGCTCTATAAATTATTTGATAATTTGGATGATATGACTTTGAATAAGTTAATTAATTTAAGTAGAATTGTCATTTTTATTATATTGGCTCAGCCTACCAATGAGCAGTTAATGATTTTCCATTTATTTAGATCTTTATCAAACTAAAATGTCCCTACCCTTAAGGAATTTATGTTCTACTCTGTGCTTTCAAGGTTCTTTATTGAATGTAATTTTTATTGCATTATGGTATGATAGTGATCCATATAATATTTCTGCTTTTTTGCATTTGTTTGTGAAGTTTTTATACCTTAATACATGGTCAAATTTTGTGAAGGTGCCATGTACAGGTGAGAAAATGGCATATGCCTTTTTATTCCCACTCAACATTGCTCAAACATCCATCATATCTATCTTTTCTAAAATTCTATTCATCTACTTAACTTTTTTCTTATTTATTTTAGATTTACCTAGTTCTGAGAGGAGAAAGTTGAGCTCCCTCACTAGCTTAGTTTTGCAGTCTATTTCCTCCTGTGACTCATTAATTTTTTCCTTTGGAAATGTCATTTGTTACCTATTTGTTTAGTACTTCATTATTTGTGGTATCTGTTAGCAAAATGCAGTTTCCTTGATTATCTCTTTTAGTTAGGTCTATTTTTTCTTTTGCTTCTCTGAAATCATGTTTTGTATTCCTGCCTTTTTTACATCAGTTGAAGCATAATAGATTCTGCTCCACAACTTTATTGTAACTTTGTGTGTGTCTTTATAGTCAGCTCTGGTCTTTTCATTGGAAATGCCTGGAAGTCCCCTATTTCATTAAATATCCATTTTCCCTCCTGTAGTATTATGCCTAGTTTTGCTTGGCAGGTTATTTTTTAAAGAATATTAATTCATTAAGTATTTCTCAAGTACATGTAAAAATTAACATTAATTTTTTCAAAGTTTTGAGTTCTAAATTAATTTTTTGCCTCCCATTACTCCCACCCTCCTTGAGAAGGCAAGCAACTTGATATCAATTATCCATATGAAGTCATGCAAAACATATTTCCATGTTAGCACATTGCAAAAGAAAACAGACAAAAGCCCCCCAAAATAGAGAAAGTAAAAAAAATATGCTTTGATTTTAATTCAGATTCCATCAGTTCTTTCTTGGGAGTTTGCTAGCGTTTTCCATCACAAGTCCTTTTGGAGTTGTCTTGGATTATTGTATTGCTGAAAATAGATGTTCACACTTCATTAGTGTACAATATTGCTATTACTGTGTACAATGTTCTCCTGATTCTGCTTATTTCACTTTGTATCAGTTCATATAAGTCTTCCCAACTTTTTCTGAATGCTTCCTGTTCATCATTTCTCAGAACACAATAGTATTCTATCACAATCATAAAACATAACTTCATTAGCCATTCTCCAAATGATGGGCATCCCCTCAATTTCCAATTCTTTGCCGTCACAAAAAGAGCTTCTATAAATATTTTTGTACATACAGATCCTTTTCCTTCTTTGATCTCTTTGGGATACAAATGTAGCATAGGTATTGCTATTTCCAAGGGAATGCATAATTATATTGCTTTTTGGGTGTAGTTCCAAATTGTTTACCAGACTCATTGAACCTGTTCACAATTCCACAAACAGTGTATTAGAGTCCCAATTTTTCCACTTTCCTTTGAGTGGCTATTCTTAGTTGTAATCCCAGCTCCTTTGCCTCCCAATAATCATATTTGAAACCCTCCACTCCTTTATTGTGGTAATTGCTAAATCTTTTCTGATCCTGCTCTGGCCCTATGACATTTGAATAGTTTTTTTTTTCTTTCTGCTTGTGGTACGTTCTCTTTGACTTGGGAGTTCTGGAATTTATTATGATATTCCTGAGAGTTTTCATTTTGGGATCTCTATCAGGAGTTTATCAATGGCTTCCTTTAATTTTTATTTTTCCCTACAGTTCTAGATATATAGATATTCCCTACAATTCTAGATCTAGAGGTTTTGCTCTTTAGTTTCTTTAAATATGGTGACTAGTGTCTCTTTTTGATTATGAGTTTGAGGTGGTCCAATAATTTTTAAACTATCTCTCCTCAATCTATTTTTTGGTCAGTTGCTTTTCTGATTGATTTTTTTCATTTCTTTTACTTTTTTAATTGTTTCTTGATGTCACATGGAGTCATTAGCTTCCACTTGACCAATTCTAATTCTTAAGGAATTATTTTCTTCAGTGAAGCTTTTTAAAAAAAATCTCTTTTCCCATTTGTCCAATTCCATTCTTTAAGAAATTATTTTCTTTAGCGAGATTTTTGTGCCTCTTTTACCAAGCTGTTAATTTCCTTTCATATTTTCTCATATTACTCCCATTTCTTTTCCCATTTTCTTCTTTTTTTTGCTTTTAAAAGTCATTTTTTGCTCTTGTAAAATCTTTCTTTCACTCTTCTATGAGGTCTTGTTGGGTTTTTGTCCAATCTGCATTTTTCTTTGAGACTTTGCTTGTAGATATTTTCATGTTATTGTCTTCTTCAGATTTTCTGTCTTGAACTTCCCTTTCAACATAGTAGATTGTTATTTTCAGGTTCTTTTGCTGTTGTTGTTTCCTTATTTTTCCAACCTTAACTCTGTTTACCTCTGGGGTGGGGTTGCTGTCCCAATCATTAGGCTTTTTTCCCCTTCTATTTTCACAACTAGTTCTGGGGGTCTATAACTTTTAAGCACTTCCAAGGTGGTTGATCCAAGATGTGTGGTCACTTCTCTTCTGGTCTGGGTTCTAGCCCCTATCCAGGAAAGACACCTGCTCCCTTTTGATAATAGGCATTAGCGGCTCTTCTCTGTCCCAAATTATGACCATGAACTAGACCCCTGCTCTTCTGCCCTATAACTGCTACCTGGAATTTGGGCTCCTGCTCTTTTGCAACCACAAGTACTCCTCTCTGCCTTGTAACTATGACCTGGAATTGGGTCATGGGCTTTAAAGCTTGCAAATGGTGCCATGTCCTGTACCCAGTGTCCACAAGGGAGTCCCCTGAAATATCTTTCTTAGCAGGTGTCCGGTCCCTTTACCATTTTCCAGGTAATGAGAGCTCCTGCTCCTGCTTTTGCCATAACTGCTGCTGCCTCCAAGGTCAACAGATGGTGTTGCCACCCCATTACATTAGCAACAAGTCCCTACCACAGTGCCACAGACCTCTCCTTCTGACCTCCTATGATGTCCTGAACTGGGAAAATGTCTCACTTTGACCTTTTGTTGGTTATGCTGCTTCAGGATTCAATTTGATGTCCTGTTTTAAAGTTGTTTGGAGGGGAAGGTTGGAAGAGTTTGACTGAAATTCTCCCTCTACTCTACCATCTTGGCTTTACTTCAAGGTAGACAATTCTTGAGTAGGGTCCTGGCAATGAGTGTAGGTTACTTATGGAGTATCTGAGCTAAGTGTCACCAGAGGGTCACACCCTTGGAGATGAATTTTCCAACTATAGCCACTCATTAAGACAATTTGCTCAGATACTTGTGGGGTTGAACTCTATGGTGGTGGAGGGAGAACCTAAAGTGATGAAACTTTATTGAATCATTGAAGTAAATATATCTGTATAAATCATATTTCAGAAAGTGTTATTTCACTGTAAAATTCTCCTGACTCTGTCATTCCTTTCTGATGCTCCTTCCTTTCATAATCTTCTCTGTGCTACATATCCCATCATTACCTCCTTGTACCCATCCATTTTTACCTGCCAATCATCTTAACTTTTTCAATATGATTTTCCAGTATATTTTACTTTCTGTATTTCAGTAGTTCCCTTTCCATCTTTCAGCACTATGTTCCAAGAACTCCACTTCTGCTACCATCTCTTATTGGTACCTCTCTGCCAGAACTTCCTTTCACTAGATTGGTGCTAACTGGGAAAGAGGGGACTGAGCTATTACAATATCCATGGATGGACCTTTGTGTCACCACTTCTAGGGCTGATTCACCTTCATTCCTGAATATCTTTGGGTTTAAAGTAACTTTGCTGTCATTCAATGACTTATGGTACTGACACAATGCAACTTTCTTTTAGGAGCTAGACGAGGATGCTTAAGACTTGAAGCTTGATGAAAGTCAACATGTGCTCCTGATACCACAATCCTAGGCTTTTCATAAAATAATAAGTTCCTTTTAGGTGGGGAGGGGAGTCAGGAGCTATGATTTCATCATTGGGGGAAATCCATCTACTGGTGCAGATCAACAACTTGTCTAAAACTTATTATCTTAGAGAGTTGCCTGGAAGCATTGAGAGTTTAAGTGACTTGTCCATTATTACATAATTAGCTCATGTCAATGGTAGGACTTAAATCTAGGGTTTCCTAGTCCCAACACCAGGACCCAATCCATTTTGGAACCATGGCAGAAAGTATATGGGTATAATAGAATCATAAAACTTCAGAGCTAGAAATGACCTGAGAGTAGTAGGGATAGAATGGAAAGAGCATTGGTTTAGAAATCAAAGTATTTAGGTTTTAATTCCAGCTAATAATAATATTCCAATGGATAGTCCAGCATAATAATAATATTATTATTTAAGTATAATACATATGCCCTTTTCATGAACGAGGACACTAAAGCTAAGTAAAGTTAAACATCTGTAAGAGATCACAGCTGTTGGAGACCACAGAATTGGAGGGTTTGAAGTGAACATCAGTGACCATCTAGTCCAACCCATTGAAGATCATTCAGGCAGTATGTATTGTACTCTGTATGCCACTGATACATTAAGGATCAAATGAAATATTGTATTGAAAGTGCACTATAATTGTAAAGCACAATAGAGATGTCAGTTCTTTAGTCCCAGAATATATTCATATCATGTATTTTTATTTTTAAAGTTTTATTATGAACTTGACTGTCATCAACAAACATAATAATTTCCATATTCAAAGGACATAAAATGAATGAACCTGGTTTCATATGAAACCATGAACCTGCCATGTAAAGCTTGTTTTTTTAAAAATATGCATGCTATTTAATGTGGTAGTAACAACACTGCCATTTTTGTCTATTTCCTTTTCTGAATTTCCTTTATTCTCTCCTGAGTATTTAAAAAATATTTAATCAATGTTCTTTTCTTTATTTTCTTTTTTCTTCTGCCTCACTATCACTACCCCCTTAGAATTCCCATTACTCTCCCACAACACTCCGGCAGTCAAAAAACATTTATTAAGCACCTACTATGTACCAGGCACTGGGAAAGCAAAGAAAACAAATGACAACTCCTGCCCTATAGGAGCACCAAGAAAATCCCTACTTTGGTAACAAAATAATTATAGTCAAGCAAAATACATTTATGTTGTATTGCATATGAAGTATGTGCATGCCACACATGGAAACATTGTGTCATTTAGTACCATACAACATGGCATAATGGATAGAGTATAGGCCTGAGAGTCAGGAAGACCTGAATTCAAGACCTGCCTCCAAACCCTACTAATGGCATGACCAAGGGCTCATCATTTAGCCTCTCAGTGTTCCCAAGTAATTCTCCAAGACCATAAGTTAGAACTAAGTTGCTGATCTGCACTAGTGGGAGAAATTTCCTCACTGGGAGCCCTTCACACTGATGAAACTAGACGTGAACACAAAATAGAACAATGAAAGAAAACATTATTCACAACTACTTTGTATTTGTTATAAGGTAACCTAAGGTTCATAAACATTAAGCACGTAAAATTTAATATTATTCATACTTTTAATTTTATATCATTGATATAATTTATCATATTTATTTTAGGCAGAGAGTTAAATTTCCTATCTTTTAGTGACAAGCTAATAGAATCCCTGAATGTTCCCTATGACTACACATCTTTGACACACTACAGCAAAAATGCTTTCCAAAGGGGAACAGAACCAACAATTATAACAAGAAACCCTGGCGTCATGGATGTGATTGGACAACGCGTAGATTTCAGCGATTATGACATTGAAAGACTGAATCGATGCTACAACCGCTGTACGTACCTGGCCTCTAGGGAACCATGGCTGTTTCCTCCTGTTCTGTGGTGAAAAGTTTCAATCTGTTTGGTTCTTGCAATTAGGAAAAAATTTAGTCGTAATGAAAAATGAGGGAAGAAGATTTAGAATTAAATCTGTATTGTTGCAACATGGTGCTGTAGGCAGGCAGTCTGGAGCAGTGGGTTGGAAATCAGAAAACTGAAAGTTAGGATGTGGCTCTGCATTTATTAGCCATGTCACTTGTGGTAAGTCACTTAACTCAGTTTTCTCTGCTATACATTGGAGGTGATATTTTTTACCAGCATGCTCACAGATTTATTCTGAAGAATGCTGTGTAAACTATAAATCACCACATAACCGTGAGCTATTATTGGACCATGATTATTGGAATGAGCTTTAATAGGATCCCTCCTAGTGAGAAAATTCTCCCTGCCAACGTAGCTCAATGCCTCCTTCTACAATTTATAGTCTTAGAGTGCTGCCATGGGGTACTGAGAGGCAAAATTATTTGCCTAGAGTAACTCTCATTAGACTTGAGATAGGGAATTTTTGTTTTTTTTCCTTTCTTTGTGTTCCTAGTGCCTAGCATGGCTTTATAGCAATCGATATTGGTGGACTGACTGACTGACTAACACAAGTCTTATGTGTCAGAATTGGAATTGACCATATATATTCCTGATTTCCAAACTAGCCCTCTAGTCACTAAGTGGCTACAAGGAAGACTCAGTGGTATTTTTCTTCTAAATAGATCTTTTTGATTGGAAACATATTTGATCCATTGTGGGGTATAGATTTACATTTGCCCTTGGAAATGTCAATTTGGCACCAAGATTTATCTACCAGAGAGGTTTTGGAAGGACTGCTACAGAACCAGAAATAGGTGTATTTGACATAGTGAAAACAGTTTTCAGACAGTACCTGGAGGACAATGAAATACACATATTCCTAAGGAGGAATGGATGGAAGATTGAAGGTTAGAAGATGGAGGAAAAGGGTGGAGGAAGCTGGACTATTGCTCAGGCAGCTCAGTAATTTGAGGAAGATAGGAGAAATAGGCATTGATTCAACATATCCCTTAATAACATTTCCAAATTAGGGCAGCTTTACCAAGCTTCTGGGTTCCTTTCTATTATGGCTATGTGAGCTGGCATTAATCAGAGCTCCTCAGGGCACTCAACTTACTGCCCAAGACTTGCTGGTTTCCATTTCCCCCTCAATGCCTTCCTTATTACTCAACTCAATTGTTCATTGAACTAAAAACAGGTTACCTCCTGACTAGAGAAGCACTCAATGATTTTTGCCTTCTGTAGCTTCTTCCATAACCTTTGTGGATTCATGTGATTTTGAACTGGAAAATATCTGCGGCATGATTCAAGGCTCAGAAGATAATGGTGACTGGCAGAGGGTTTCCCAGGTGCCTGGTAGGCCTGACACTGATCAGTCAAGCCTGGACAAGTGCAAAGGTAACAACCAGAGTTGGCTCTTGCATATTTTGCTTTCTTCAGCAGACCTCTTAGCATTTATCTTTAGCTTAGTTATGCCCTAGGACTATAGATTTAGAGCTGCTAGGGACCTTAGAGGGCATCTAATCTAACCTCTTCATTTTACAGATGAGGAAATTAATGTTCACAGGGTTTAAGTGACATGTCCAGGGTCACACAAGTAGCCAGTGCCAGAGGCCTGATGGGAACCCAACTCTTTTTGATTCCCAGTCTATGAAGTTTATCTCCTGCACCAAGCTGGTGCTCTAATGGAAGAAGCTAAATGTTGTCTAAAGACAGAATGGGGTCTTATTTGTAAGCTCTATGAGTCCTACTAGGCCTATTATCAAGTTTTAAATTCATATTAAGAGCAGTTTTGGAATTTGACTTGTTGCAGCAAATTAAAATGATTAAGGTCTTCTCCCTTACCTTCTTGCAACTTGCAACTGCAACATCTCACTGAGTTTGGACAGTGGTGAGATGGAAAGGACAGGTATTCCGGCATAGTGGGACTCTGGGTTTGAATCCTACCTGTGATTTTATTACCTATAAATCACTTCTTTGAATCTGTTTTCTTATTTGTAAATGAAAGGGTTGGATTCAGTGACCTCAGAGGTCCCTTCCAGACGCAGATCTTTGGTTTATAGTTTAGATCCTAGGCTTCCAACCTGAAGAGAGATTTCTTCAGCAATTGTGTTCCTATGTGTACAGTGTGTGTGTTTATGTGTGTGAGTGAGATAAAACTGTATGTTGTATTTTGAAAAAATCTGATCTTCTCAGGTGAACAAAGAAAGGGTAAAACCTTGGCAGATGACATTTCATTTATTCTAACTGTTGCACATTTCCCTTTGCAATTTGGTTTTGGTCTAACATCACTTAAAACAACTCATTGCTAGTCCCACACATCTGGTAAAAGCAGATGATAAAACTTAAGGTGCTACACTAGTTCTAATGGTCAGGTCAGGACACTGAGAATGACAGAATCCTAAGACTCTAGGGGTCTCAGGAGCCATCTTGTTCAGTTGAGTAAACTGTGGGGCAGGGGAAATAAGTGATTACTCGGGTCACAGGGGCAGTGTCAGAGGTGGGATCTAAATCCATGTCCTCTGGCTGCTGAGACAATGCTCTTTCCATCACAAAGTTATTAATAATCACTTCTTCATAAGGTGTCTGGAGTCTAATGAGAGGGCCTTCGGAGCTCCCTTTCTTGAACTTCTCAGGACATGATCATTGGGTAGTTGGGGGAGAATATGATAGGTGAAAGAGCAAATTGCTCCTGTGTTCTCAGGGAGGGGGAAACGGGAAGGTTAAAAAATAGAGGGGCAGACGGAAGCAAGTCTCTGAACTTAGGGTTTTTGTTTTTCTTTTCCTTGTGCTTTGGAATTATTATTACTTGAAATCAGAGATAATTTGCTAAATTTTTTTCTACAAATACATTGCCTTTTCCATAAAATATGGACTTCCAGAGGGAGGGACCATATTTCATTACATCTTAGTGTTTGCTTTGAACACTTTGAACGCCTTGAATCACGCCACTGGTGTTGAGCAAAAACTTACAAAGCAGCTCCTAAGTAGCTAATTAAGAAGCAGATAACCCACTCTGACCAGCCCCATGATCTACCTGCAGCAAATTTTACTCAGAAGGCTGAGTAAGTAGAATCAGAGTGATGGCGTATCAGAGCAGAAATAAACTTCGAGTGCCTCTAGCCCAAGTTTTACAGTTTTATAAATCTGAGGATTTTTACAAATAAGAAAACGGAGGCTCAGAAAAGATGAATGATTCATACAATTTGGACCCTTCTGGACTGGATGATTCACTAGGAAAACTGAGGCAGGCATGTCCCTGAGCGTGGAGCAATGATTCATAAAGGTGCCCCATCCCACATTTTTCCATTGGCACCTGAAAGTAGAACTCAAGGGGGCAAGATGGTGTATGGGGATGCTTATCTGAAGTTAGAGGACCTAGGTCTTTGGGAATTCTCTTAATCCTGCTATGCCTCATTTTCCATATGTAAAATGAAGGGCCTGGTCTGGATGGCGTGTAAGGTACTTTTCAGCTCTAAATCACTAAGTTTTTTGGTGTCCTCTTTTCTTATTCCTTCAAATATACAGTCATCTCAACCAGGTGGCACACTGGATGGAGCACTTGGCCTGGAGTCAGGGAGACCTTAGTTCAAGTCTGGCCTCAGATACTTACTAACTATGTGGCACTGAGCAAGTTACTTAATCGCTGTTTGCCTTGGATTGCTCATTTGTAAAATAAAGATGAAAATAGCACCTGCCTCCCAGGGTTGCTGTGAGGACCAAGTCAGAGAGTTGTAAAGTTCTTAGCTCAGTGCACAGATCACAGAAAGCATGATATAAATCTTAGCTTTTATTATTTTTATCATCAGGATTAGCTAGTAGGACACAAGAATTCAGAAGAGTGCCAATCAGGACAGACTAACAAAGGGCCTTATTTTCTTCACTATCACTATTTCTATAGTCCTCAGAACTGTGGTGCATTTACATTTCCTGAGAGAATATTCAAATCCTTGGCTTGAATTAACCATAGTATATGCAGTTGTGGAAACTAATTGTTTTTTTTTAAATTTTTATTAATTTGTTTTGATTTATCAACAATCACTTATAAGCTTCTGAGTTTTAAATTTTTCTCCCTCTCCCTTTGTACCTCCCTCCCCAAGACAGCGCACAATCTGATATAGGCTATACATATACATTCCTATTAAACATATTTTCAAATTAGTGATGTTGTAAGGGAGAATTAGAACCAAAAGGAGGAACCACAATAAAGAGGAAACAAAGCAAAACAGAAGAAAAAAATGGTAAATAGTATGTTTTGATTTGCATTCAAACACCATAGTGTTTTGTTTGGATGTGGATAAAATTTTCCATCATGAGACTTTTGGAGCTGCCTTATATCCTTGCATTGTTAAGAAGAGCAAAGTCTATCAAAGTCAGTCATTACACAACATGGCTGCTACTATGTACAATGTTCTCCTGGTTCTACTCACTTCACTCAGCATCAGTCTATATACGTCTTTGCAGCTTTTTCTGAAGACTGTCTGCTCATCATTTCTTATAGTACAATAGTATTCCATTACATTCATATACCACAACTTGTTCAGCCATTCCCCAATTGATGGGCATCCCCTTAATTTCCAATTCTTTGCCACCACAAAAAGAGCTGCTATAAATATTTTTGTACATGTTGGTCCTTTCCCCATTTTTATGATCTTTTTGGGATATAGACCTAGAAATGGTATTGCTGGGTCAAAGAACGTGCACATTTTTATAGCCCTTTGGGCATATTTCCAAATTGTTCTCCAGAATGGTTGGGTGGAAACTACTTGTTAACTGGTGTAATAAGTTCCTCTCCTTGTTTGGTCTCCCTTCTTCCTTTCTCCTGTTCCTGATGGTGTTGTCCTTAGAGGCACATTCCATAGAGCACCTCTTTTTCTTCTATGAGAGGAATACATGTGCAGATTTGGAAGGATCTCCTACCTGGAGCCAAATTTTCAGTGTGAACATTCAAGCTTCAGAAATCAACAAACATTCCAATCAGAGCCTGATTTTTTTTGTTTGTTTTGTTGAATTTCTAGACTTAAGAAAATGATGGAGAAAATGATCATATAGATTAAATTTAAAAATCTGTCATGCATACAGTTTTTTTCCTCCACAGAAATCCAGTTGTTAAATATTTATCACATACCCAAGAACATACCCTATTCTCCCTGGCTGCCTTGGCAGGGTTTGAAATGATATTTGAAATGACATAATAGTGTTTTTTAAAAAAAAAAATAGTCCTGTGCCTCAGTTTCCCCTCTTGCCAAATGTGATTAGACCTGGAGCCATGTAAAAGCATAGTGTTTTGCTATTGTAAATGTGTGTTTTTTATACATATGTGGCCAATTGACTAATATTTTGTTTAGCATATAAAGTCAGGTCCTGACTCTGTAGTTTAGGTTGTAAGAAGTGAAAAAAAAATCCTGAATTTATGATGGCTTCATGTATTAAAATTAAGTACCCTACCTATCCTTGAAATTTTCCCTTTGGAGCTAGGGTCTTCAAGTCTCTTCTCTGTTTTCTCCCAGGTTCCTGTTTCTTTATGCACTTCAACAGCAGCTCTGTGAATGAGGGGGGAAAGGCAATCCTGGAAAGCCGATTATTTTACCCCAAGAGAGTGTTTCAATGCTTGCAGTTTTATTACTACATCAGCAGTAATAATGATGTTAAGCTCAAGATACATCAGAGAATATATCACAGCCCTTCATAAAACCTTTCTTACTCTAGTGGATGAAGTGAAAGGTATGAGGTTTCATTTTCAGGGAAACTAAGCTTGAGTTTGATCTGAGACCTTCTGTAGCTCTTTGTTTCCCTTTTCGCAACATATCAAAAGCTTCCTTCCTTTATCGCACAATGCTTTTTTCTCCCAAGAGGGCACAATGTGTGTTGGTATCCATGAGAGATGGCCATAGTACATTAACAAGGAAGGACTGGTTTTATGAGGAGCCAAAGGAAACATTTTTTGACAATTGGGGAAATAAAAAAATAGATTAGACTGCCTTGGGGAAAGGGTGCAAATAGTTAAGTGCCCTGTCACTGAAGATCTTGAAGCAGATGACCACTTTTGGGGATGTTGCAGCTAGAATGAATGATTTAGAAAGGGATTGGTCTAGAAGATCTGTCATCTCCTTTCTCATTTTAAGTTTACAATTCTATATTGAGATAGCTACCTTCATATACATAGAGTGAGAGGTGGAGCAGTTGATGGAGCACTGAGACTGCAGATGAGTTCAAATCCAACCCTAGATCCTGTGAGTGACCCTGGGCAAGTCTCTTAACCTCCATATGCCTTAATTTTTTCAGCTGTAAAAATGAAGATAAGAACATCTACCTCACAGAACATATATTAAATGCTTAATAAAGGCTTGTTCCTCCTTTCTGTTTGCCAATAGGTTAGATAAATTCCCCAGATATCAAGGCATTAGGGAGAGTTGTTAGAGGGCAAGATTTTAGGAAGTAATTTTTCTAAGGATCAGTAACAATCTATGTATTATTACTGGGGAACTGGTACTAACTTTGCCAAATTTGTTTCCAGGGAGCTCATACATCTGTAGGATTTTCAGGTTAATAGGATCTTAAAATTCTTAGACAGGTCCAAAATATAAATAGACTCATGGAATGTTTAGGACATGATAGTACCTTAAAAAGAGATCTAGGAATATTCTGCTTTTATCCCTAGACTTAGAAGATGATGTTGTAGAAGAAAAATAAATATCATGGTAAAGCAGAAAGTGTGATAGATTAGGGATCCAAGGACCTGGGTGTAAATTTTGGCACTGCCACTTACTAACTGATAGGGTAAGCCACTTAACCCCTGTGAGTCTTAACTTTTGCATGTATAAAATGAGTGAGTTGCCTATACAGTCCTTTCTAGTTATAACTCTCTGATCCTATTGGTACATTCCTTCAAAACCATCTTTGATGTGAATATCAGACAAAGGCCATTGTTCTGACTCAGTGTATTATTTCAAAGACCTGAGTTCAAATCTAGTTTCAGACTCTTGGTACCTGTTTGACCTGGGCTAGTCATTTAAACTCTATCTGCTTCAGTTTCTTCATCTGGAAAATGAGAATAATAATAATACCTACCTCCCAGGGAACATAGTAGATGCTTAATAAATGCTTGCTCCCCCTTTTCCTGTTCTAATAGGCCAGATAAATTCCCCAAATATCAAAATATTGGGGAGAGTTTCTGGGGAGCAAGATTTCAGGAAGTAAACTTTCTAAGGATTGGTAGTATTATGTGTGTTATCATTGGGGAATGGGCAGCCAACTTTTGTGTTATTGGGAGGATCAAATGAGCTATTTGTAAAGTGCTTTGCAAACCTTAAAGCACTATATAAATTCTAGCTATTAATAATTTTAGTCCTTGCATTCTTTTTTTATAATTAATTTATTTTTAGTTTTCAATATTCACTTCCATAAGATTTTGAATTTTAAATTTGTTACCCCTCCTACTCTTCTCCCCATCCCAAGATGGCATGCAATCTGATATAGGCTCTACTTACATATTCATATTGAACATATTTTCCCATTAGTCATGATGGGAAAACAATTAGAAGTAATGGAAGGAAACAAGAGAATGAAGCAATAAAACAAAACAACGAAGGAAAAGGAGAGCAAATAACATGCTTCCATCTGCATTCAGACTCCATAGTTCTTTCTCTAGATGTGGATAGCATTTTCCATCATAAGTCTTCTGGAGTTGTCTTAGATTCTTGCATTGCTGTGAAGAGCAAAGTCTATCAAAGTCAGTCATTGCACAATGTGGCTGTTACTATGTACAATGTTCTCCTGGTTTTGCTCATTTCACTTTTCATCAGTTCATGTAAGTCTTTCCAAGTTTTTTTGAAGTCTGCCTGCTCATCATTTCTTATAGTACAGTAGTATTTCATTACATTCATATACCACAACTTGTTCAGCCATTCCGCAATTGATGGGCATCCCCTCAATTTCCAATTCTTTGCCACCACAAAAAGAGCTGCTATAAGTATTTTTTTTTGGTACATGTGGGTCCTTTTCCCTTTTTTATGGTCTTCTTGGGATATAGACCTAGAAGTGGTATTGCTGGGTCAAAGTGTATGCACAATTTTATGGCCCTTTGGGCATAGTTCCTAATTGCTCTCCAAAATGGTTGGATCATTTCACAACTCCACCAACAATGCATTAGTGTTCCAATTTTCCCACATCTTCTCCAACATTTATCATTGTCCTGTTTTGTCATGTTAGCCAATCTGATAGGTGTAATGTAGTACCTCAGAATCATTTTGATTTGCATTTCTCTAATCAATAGTGATTTACAACATTTTTTCATATGATTATAGATAGAGTTTCTTCCTCTGAAAACTGCCTGTTCATGTCCTTTGACTATTTATCAATTGGGGAATGACTTGAACTCTTATAAATTTGACTCAGTTCTCTATATATTTTAGAAATGAGGCCTTTATCAGAGACTCTAGTTGATCTATGGAGAAGTGAGGGATTTATGACCAAACAAGAGAACATTATGAAATGCAAAATGAATAATTTTGATTACATTAAATTGAAAAGTTTTTGTACAAACAAAGCCAATGCATCCAAGATTAGGAAGGAAGCAGAAAACTGGGAAATAATTTTTACAACCAGTTCATATGTTCTTGTAAGCAGGACAGAAGTAACACTTGATTGCTGAATGCGGCTTCTTATTTAGCTCTATAATCCCAGAAATGTTTAGGCAACTTCATAGATTACTATGTGCTCAAGCATTCTGTCAGCTCATGTGACTTGACATGAATATTTGGAAGTAAAACATTTGAATTAGACTGGATAAAACCATGACATAGAACACTACTGGCATGCAAATTGATTCTTACATTCTTGTGAACAGGACAGATATAAAACTTTATAGTTGAATATGGCTGTTTGCTCAGCCCTTTAAACCTAGAAAAGTATAGACAATTTCATAGGTTACTAGAAATGTGCTTAAGCATTCTTTCAGGTCATGTGATCTTGCATGAATATTTGGAAGTAAAATGTTTGAATTGGTGAATGGATGGAACCATGGCATAGAACATTATTGACTTGTTTAGTCTTGGAGGTGAGGAACTATTGTTATTCATTAGTACATGACTCAGTAATTGACTGACTTTAAAAAGCGAACAGTTCTCTTCTATTACAGATGTACCCCCTGGGAACTGGCAACTCTATTGTGTACCATTGGCAGCTACCAACATATTCAGGGTGGTATTTGAAGGAACTCGAGGTATTGGCTCATCAGGTGGTGGTATCTCCATTGACGACATTAACCTTTCAGAAACTTGGTGCCCTCATCATGTCTGGAGGATAAGCAATTTCACGCAAATCAAGGGGAGTTATCTATAGCCCTCCATTTTATTCTGACAAAGGCTATGCCTTTCAAGTTCAGTTAGATATAAGTGATCAGACTAAGGTAGGGATATATTTCTCCCTGATCTCTGGAGCCAATGATGAACAATTACAGTGGCCATGTGCATGGCAACAAGCCACAATGATGCTATTGGATCAAAATCCTGATATTCGTTGGCGCATGTCCAACGAGAGGAGTGTGACTATAGATCCATTCAAGACAATTGGTTTGTGATTTTTTTTTTCTTTATTGCTAACACAATATATTAATTTCAATGGGAAGGTGGGGGAGGGAAGGAAAAGAAGAAAAGGGGGGGGTGAAAGAATGAAAATGCCACTAAGTTGCTGGTCAGTTAATAGGGACCACTAATAGATTTAGTACAAGATCCCAGAGTCGTTGGAGCAGGGGAGCTTGTGAGGGAGTATTGCAATAGTTGTGGGGAGGCGAGTGTCAAGAATGATGAGCAGTAAAAGTTTCAGTAAAGAAACCTAGAATGAGAAGGGTGGCCACATGAGAAATATGGCTGATTCAAAGGGTAATTACTACTCTCAACTCATTCTCAACCTCTAATTTATGTCTCATTCCTGTTCCTTGGTTACTTAACTTTCCTGTCTACTCTTATTGTGAACTAACTACCTTGGTTACATGAGGGTTGGATATTATAGTTTTGTAATTCAGTTCTTGAATAGAAGAGAACAGCTTTTATTATTTTTGTAATCCTGAATGCCAGAATTCGTTTTTTTAATTTTCTTTAAAAATTTTTTTTAAATTGTTTTTTTTAAATATCTAAAATTTTTCGAGTTCTGAATTCTCTCTATCCCTCCCCCCCTTCCCCACCCATTGAGAAGGCAAGAAATGTGATATCAATTATACATGTGAAATCATGCAAAACACATTTCCATATTAAATGTATTATAAAAAATGGCAAGAAAAATAGAAAAAGTGAAAAAAATTATACTTCAACCTGTACTCAGACTCCATCAGTTCTTTCTCTGGAGGTGGATAGCATTTTTCATCATAACTCCTTCAGAGTTTTCTTGGATTGCTGAGAATGGCTGTCAATTACAGTTGATCATTATACAATATTCCTGTTACTATGTACAGTATGCTCCTTATTCTGCTCACTTTGCTTTGCATGAGTTCATATAAATCCTTCGAGGTTTATCTGAAACCGTCCTGCTCATTATTTCTTATAACACAATGGTATTCCATGACAGTCATGTACCACAACTTGTTCAGCTGTTCCCAAATTATGGGCATCCCCTCAATTTCTAATTCTTTGCTACCACAAAGATTAGCTGTGTGTGTATATGTTTATATATATATACACATATGTATATGTATATAAATATGTATGTATATATTATATATGTGTGTACACACACACATACACACATATATTCATACTTCTACATATAGGTCCTATCTTTAGAGCCACAGAGGATGGAATAGAACTGTCTTTCATGGAGTCTGTATTGATTCCTTTGCAATTTCCTCAACGAATTTTGAGTAGTACTGAGTAACTAAAAGAAGTCATCTTGGGGTCAGAACATATGGCATAAAGGAAAGCGTTCTCTGTACAATTCTGGCCAAATTACATTGCATCACTTTCCAGTTACACCACTCTCCAGTGATCATCAGCTCAACCTATAGAACAGACCAGTTCTATCTACTATATATTCCTCCAGCATCAAATGTGTTGGTAACAAGCTCCACTGATCTGGCAGAGAAAGTATAACAGGCCAGAAGCACCATCTAGTTACTTTATAACTTTATGCTTACATTATTGTACCATTGTTTGTGTTTTTCTAACCTCAAAAAATCTGACCTTATTGGACATGACCCAGAAATATGAATGGCTTTTTCAGATAGCGATAATGAAGTCTTTTTTTGGGACAAGCCCTCCAAAGTAGCCGTGATGGCAACTTTCCCTAATGGGACATTATATAGCAGAGGTCAGGGATATGGACCCAGTACCTACATAACACACAAATGGCTGCAAAGCAGAGATTTTATCAAAGGAGATACTGTTTACATCCTCTTGACAGTGAAAGGTAAGTATATACAAGGTGGCTCTGCTGCTGAGAATGTTTTTCTTTATGTGGCAACAGGTGACTTTCTGTGTAGTTTCTGTGTTATGTGTCTGAGGTGGGATTTGAACTCAGGTACTTCTGATTTCAGGGCTGGTGCTCTATCCACTGCGCCACCTAGCTGCTCCCACATTATTATTTTTGACTCCTAACTTGTACTCACCCCAGGTAGCCAATCTGTTGTTAAGTTCTTTTTTTTGTTTCTATCTTCACAACATCTTTCACATACATCCCCTTTTCTTCACTCACAATCATGCCACCGTGATTAAGACTATTATCACCTCACACTTGAGCTGTTTATTGTAATAGCCTGGTCATGGTCTCTCTACCTCATCTCTTCATATTCTGTTATATGTTCTGGTCAGTTGCCAAAATAATCTTCCTGAAGCTCAGATTTGACTCCCTCACCTCTATACCCAGGAAACTTTAGTGGCTCCCTATTACCTCCAGGAGCAAATATACAATCCTTTGTCTTTGTTTTTGGTGAGTCAACTGGGGTTAAGTGACTTGCCCAGTGTCACATAGCTAGTAAGTGTCAAGTGTCTGCTCTGAGACTGGATTTGAACTCAGGTCTTCCTGGCTCCAGGGTCAGTGCTCTCTCCACTGCGCTGCCTAGCTGCCCCTCTTTGTTTGTCTTTTAAAGCCATGTACTACCAGGTCCCTTCCTACCTTTTCAGTCTTCTAGCACTTTACTCCTCTTCCCGCTCTGAGGTACAATGACACTAGCCTTGCTGATCCTCACATACAACCCTCCATCTCCCTGAGGATCCTTATTCCTAGAATACTCTCCTTCCTTACCTCTGCCTCTTGGCTTCTCTGGTTTCCTTCAAACACTCACCTTAAATTTCTCGAACTTCTGCAAGAGGCCTTTCCTGGTCCATCCCCTCTCTACCACACCCCGCACTGCTAATGCCTTCCTTATAAGATTACCTCCTATTTACACAGCATATATCTTGTATGTATGCAGTTGTCTGTTACCTCCCTTCCCAGAATGTGAGCTTCTTGAGGACAGAGACCATATTTTCACCTTTCTCTGTATCATCAGGACTTAGTACAATGCTTGGCATATAGTAAAAAGATACTATAAATATTTTTGTACACATGGGTCCATTTTCTCTTTGATCACTTAGGGTTATCATAAAATTGGGAACAGGGTTGCTGGTTTCAAGGATATACACAGTTTAAGAAATATTGGGAAATCCCCCAATACTTCACATTCCAAATTGCTTGCTCTAAATTGATCAGACCAATTCACTGCTCCAGGAACAGTTCATCAGTATCTGTTTTCCCACATACCCTTTAACATTAATCATTTTCTTTTTTTTTAATCAGCTTTACCAATCTGATGTATATTAGATTCAGAACTACTTTCATGTTCATTCTATGATTATTAGTGTTTTGGAGCTTTTTTCAAAAGGTTTTTGATAACATGGTTTCCTTCCCTTAAGAGCTATCTATTAATATTGTTTAACCATTTAACAATTGGAGAATGGCTTTATTGTTACAAATTTGAATCAGTTCCTTATCTAGCTTAGAAATGTGAACTTTATTGGAAAACTTAAAGCAAATGTTTCCCTCCCCCCACTCAATTGTTTTCCATCTAACCTCAGCTACTTGGTTTTATTTGTGAAAAACATTTAAAATTTGCATAATCAAAACTGTCAGTTTCATATTCTGTGCATGTGTCTATCTCATGTTTGGTTAATGGTTCTGTTATTCATAGGTCCAAAGATAATTACTTTTTTTGCTTCTCTAAATTGTTTGTGATGTCATTCTAAGTCATACATCCATTTTGAATTTATTGTGGTACATGGTGTGAGGTACTGGTCTAAACCTGATTTCTGTCAGATTTTTCCAGTTTCCCTGGCAATTTTTGTTGAATAGTGAGTCCCTTTGTACCTATGGTCTTTGGGTTTCAGATACAGGGTATTGTGTTTATTTGCTTTCCTATGTTGTACATGTATATACTTTATGTTAAAAGAACTAAAAAGAGGCTTCTAGTATGTTACATAGATCCTTTATAGGGGATCTAGAAGAGGGCATGGATGGGGTCCAGATGTAAGGAACATGAGTGGAGGTGTTGTAAGCTGTTGGAGGAAACATCCACATTGATGGGATCACAGATCCATGGAAGTGCTTGGTATGGCACTTGTACCTCCTCTCCACAAGGTTGCGGTGAGGAAAGCTGTTTATAAGCCTTAAAGCATTGTAAAACCTAATTGTTCAAAGTTCTTGAATCACAGACAATATTAACTTCAGTCAAGCTGTCAAGAATTTATTAAGTGCCTATGATATGCCAGCTGTTATACTAAGGATACAAAGAAAGGCCAACAAACACTAGTTCAACCCTCAGGAATTCCCAGTCTAATGGAGAAGACAACATGCAAGTGATTATGTACAAACTAGCTACATACAGGATAAACTGCAGATAATCAATACAGAAGTCATTAGCTTTAAGGGATATACAAAGGTCTTCTAGAAGATAAGAGGTTTAGTTGGAACTTGAAAGAATCCAGGAACTTTTAAAAGTAAAATAAGCTTATAAAAATTTAGTGAGTACATAGTACCTAAGGAAAAATACCATAAAACACTATCTAGAGTTAAAATTAAGTAAACATTTCCTTATTTTTTAAATGAGAGAAACACAACCAGAAAACAAAGTCTTAATATGCAGTTACAAAGCAAAGTGTCATAGATATCTAGAAGAACTGGAAATTAAAGTCCTTACACATATCTGAGTGAAAATTCCTTACGTGGGGAAAATGCAAATATTATCCATGGGTCAATTTTGTCCTTTATTTCCCACAATAGTTATTATTTCAATGTTTGGTTCAGAGGGTCTTAATCCTTTTTGCTGTGTTGTGCCCCTTTGGCAACTTGGACTCATTCACAGAATAGTGGTTAGTGGCCAGAAATTTTAATTTCCATTAGAGGTTGGTGAAAATAAATATATAATTTTTTCCTGTCTAAGTTCATGGGCTGGCTGAATATCTAGTCTAGTTAATTGTGCTGCAAATTGTCAGGTTTCAAGGAATCATAGCTTTATTTTAGCAGATCCAAATATATTTTAAGGAAACTTGCATTTTCAGTACATTTGAAAACATGCTCTTCCATCTTCCATCATTTAAGGGCAGTTATTCTGCCAAAGAGTTATTTTGTATATCCAGCCCTCTCTTGAATATTCAGGAGCTATTTTTCCCTCCAGTTGTTAGGTTATAAAGGTGTTTTGGCACTTTCCCAATGGCTGTTGCCTTCTTTTTGGCTGCAAAAAGAAAGCACTCAAATCTGCTCATTTTGCCACTTTTTCTTGGCTCTAATTCCAAAATTCTTGTGGTGGAGTTAAGGAAGGAAGAAGGTTGAATTGTAAACATGAGGATATGAGATTACCTTATGAATTTTGCTCGCCCTCAGCCATATTTTTATGGAAACTTGAGAGGTGGTTTTTATCAATAGGTTGTTCAAATAGATCCCACTAGAATGTTGACTTTCACATTCAAGTATTCATTCAATAAGCACTACTAAGCAAAAAAAAATCCTGGATAATTGAGAATAGCCTCTAAATTTTGTAACTCTTTTGTGAAGAGATTGATGCTGTATCATAAACTCTAGGTTACATGAACCTGTGTTTTTAGCAGCAACCTTTACAAATGACATCGAAGCATTTTAGGGCAGTGGAAAACATCGGATTTGGAGCCAGTAGGCTTGGGTTGGAATCTTGAATCTGTCATTTACTATCTGGATGAACACGAACAGGACACTTGACCTTTCTGCTTATATTTCCTTATCTACTAAATGAAGATATTTGGTTAGACAATCTCTACTGTCCTTTGTGGTTCTAAATTCTATAATTCAAAACCATTGATGTATCATAATAAGAACTTTGTGCACCACTAGACTGAATGATGTTGTAAAAACAACACTGGAGTAAGACTTAGCAGATCTAGGTTCAAGTTTGAGGTTTACCACTTACTGACTGAGTGCGCTTGGGCCAGTCATCTCTGGAAGCTGCTGGAACTGGATAAGTATGAGAGTCACATAGTCTGCAATTAAGGAAATTACTTTGGTAGTGGTATGTAGGATATATCAGAGGGGTGAGAGAAGTGAGGCAGGGAGACCAATTAGAAGAATGGTGAATATCAAATTCTGACTCTGACACTTATTGGCTATGTGACCTTGGGTTGGTCACTTCAGCTCCTTGGGCCTCAGTTTCCTCTTCTGTGAAATGAGGGGGTTGGACTAGAGTAGATTATCTCAAAATCCCTTCTAGTAAATTCTATGATTTTGTTCACACAATGAGCTCTTTCAGGTACACCATACCGTATGCATCTTTGAAGGGAAGAGGTCACAACTGTGCAACATATACACAGACTGATGGGTATGTGTATTTGAGGTGGGGGGAAGCTGCTTAGGGTATGTGCTACAGATAGTAATATCCATGAGCTAATTTTATTTAAGCTTTGCAGTTTTTTCAATACCAGCTAGGGAGGAATTTTATTCTCCCTAACTCACTGCATCCCTATTGTTGCACAAAAGCCTAGAGCCCAGACTGTGGAACCTACAGACATGTCCTAGGTTCAGATCTATTCAACACTTTCCCCATTATTGGCTGCCCTATCAGCCAATAAATTACTTCATCTTTCTCAAAGTTAAGGGAGGGATGATACATGGCTTTCTCTCTCTCCTATAGATGTATCTTAGGCTTCCAATACACCAGGCAGAAATTACACAATTCAATATTTTAACTCAGCAAATATGTATTTTATCATTGGTCTTTTTTTTAAACATGTGCAATTATGTAAAACATTTCCATATTAGTCATTTTGTACAAGAAGACTCGAATAAAAGGGAAAAAAAAGAAAGAAAGTAAAAAATAGCATGCTTCAGTCTGAATTCAATCAATATCTTCTCTGGAGGAAGATAGTATGCTTTATCATTAGTCCCGTGGGATTGTCTTGAATCATTGT